CTCTAGTCCCAGCACTTTAGGAAACTAGGCCGGTGGATTGCTTGAGGTCAGGAGTTTGAGATCAGCCTGGTCAACACGACAAAACCCCGTCTCTACTAAAAATACAAAAATTAGCTGGGCATGGTGTTTCACGCCTGTAATTCCAGCTACTTGGGAGGCTGAGGCACAAGAATCGCTTGAACCTGGGAGGTCGAGGTTGCTGTGAGCCAAGATTGCACCAATGCACTCCAGCCTGGGCGACCAGAGCGAGACTCTGTCTCAAAGAAAAAAAAAAGAATCGTCTTGGGCCTCACACGAAATACACTAATGCTAATGATAGCTGATAAGCTTAAAAAAAAAAATCACAAAAAAATTCATAATGTCATAATGTTTTAAGAAAGTTTATGAATTTGTGTTGGGTGCCATTCAAAGCCGTCTTGGGCTGCAGGTTGGACAAGCTTGCTCTAAATGTTAAACTCTGGTAACTAACTTAATATGTCTGGGATTGTATCCAACCCATGGATTTGAGACCTTCTCCTTGTCTGATTCAGCACCATCTGATAGGTTCTCCTGGCATCCTCCACACCCCACTTTCAAGCTCTTGGCACATGTAACTGTGTGTTTAATATCTGTCCCAGAGAGGTGCCCCATGAAAGTAGGCCTGGGTCTGTTATGGTCAGTGCTACGTCCCAGTACTGCCCAGGCCAAGGCCAGGCACACAGTAACACTCACTCAATTAACCAGTGATGGAATACCATTAGTTCAGGATGTCTGGGGCAGTCAAGTCAGCCTGCTGGGGAGAGTGTGGAATCTGTACCCTGTGGGTGCTTCACAAAGAGAAAACTTGCTGTCATGAGTCATTCAAGGTGGGCCTGCCCCTTCATGGGAGATGGCTTATGTCACCATTCCCTGGCCCACTGGTTCCCCAGCAGGTTCTGGGGCGTTGAGACTGGGGGTGGGGGTGGGGGTATGGCTGTGGAAATGTGCTCTAAAAGGACTCCGCCAACAGTAGGAACGGGGGTGGGCGTGGGACAGAGTAGCAGTGAGGATGTGGGTAAAACATGTCACCTGGCACAGTGCCTGGCATGGTCGCTGCTTAAAAAACGCGAGCTGCTGTGAGGATTAGGGGAGGTGGAGTAGCCTAGCGTTTAAGAACCCAGGCTTGGCCGGGCACAGTGGCTCAGGCCTGTAATCGCAGCACTTTGGGAGGCCAAGACGGGTGGATCACTTGAGGCCAGGAGTTCGAGAACAGCCTGGCCAACATGGCAAAACCCCATCTGTATTAAAAATGCAAAAATTAGCTGGGTGTGGTGGCGGGCGCCTATAGTCCCAGCTACTTGGGGGGTTGAGACAGGAGAATTGCTTGAACCCAGGAGGTGGACGTTGCAGTGAGCTGAGATCGCACTGCTGCAGTCCAGCCTGGGGGACACAGCAAGACTCCGTCTCAAAAAACAAAACAAAATGAAAAATCCAAAAACCCAGGCTCTTTGGGCTCTGGGCAAGTCAAGGTATCTCTGGACCTGTTTCCTCATCTGCAAAGTGAGGAGGAGAATGGTATCTACCTCATCAGGCTTTTGCGAGCAAGAGACGCAAAACCACCCAAGGTGCTGAGCAGGGTCTGACGCACGGCTGGCGCCTACTTGAAGCTCGCTATTATGGCTGTTGCAGCGTACAATGCATTCGTGCCTACACTCGGTTCCTGCTCACTCAGCGGCTACTGTGCACCAGATGCTGGCCTAGGTGCTGAGGACATGGCAGTGAACACGTAACGCACAGTGCATGGCAGACGGTGGTTAAGCAGGCAAAGCGGGAGAATGTGCTCCAAGCCAGGGGAGGGGGTGTGCAATCTTAGATAACAAGGCCTCACTGACAAGGCAACATGTGACCAAAGGCCTGTAGGAGGAAAGGGAGCGAGCCATGTGGTGATCAGAGCAGTGTTCCAGCGAGAGGCACAAGCAATACAAAGGCCCTGAGGCTGGACACCGTCCTAGCATGCACATGAAATCCCAGAGGTCTGCATGGCTGGGGCAGAGAGAGCAACAGGGACGTGAGGTCAGAGAAGTCGACAGGGATTCAGGTCACACCCAGCCTCATGGGCTTCGATAAGGACTGAGGCTTTAACCTAGAGTGACCTGAGGGTTTAGAGCAGAGAGGTGATGTGATCAGATTGCTCTCACTACCATGTCGAGAACAGGCCACAGAGAAGCAAGGGCAGGGGCAAGAAGGACCAGAAAGGACACTACCTAAAGTGTCTGGGAGAGACCAGGTTGGCTGGCGCCAGCGTGGGGGCTGTGGGAGAGGCGGTTGGCGTCTGCCTACGGAAGTGGAGCTGACGAATGTGGGCATGAGAGAGAGTGGAGCCCAGGCTGATGCCAAGGCTCTGACATCCGCAAACGGAGGGATGGACTTGACCTTTTTTTCCCTAAAACCTTATTTGAGTAGAGGACTTCTGTTTTACGAAGTCAGGAAACCTCTGAGAGGGGTGGGGAGAAACACTGGAGTTTGCTTTTGTTTGTTTGTTTTGAGACAGAGTCTTGCTCTGTCACCCAGGTTGGAGTACAGTGGCTTACTCTCGGCTTACTGCAACCTCTGCCTCTCGGGTTCAAGCATTTCTCCTCCCTTAGCCTCCCAAGTAGCTGGGATTACAGGTGTGTGCCACCACACCTGGTTAATTTTTGTATTTTTAGTAGAGATGGGGTTTTACCATGTTGGCCAGGCTGGTCTCGAACTCCTGACCTGAAATAATTCATCCACCTCGGCCTTCCTAAGTGCTGGGATTACAGGTGTGAGCCATCGCGCCTAGTCACTTTTTCATTTTTTTTTTTTTTTGAGCTGGGGTCTTTCTCTGTTGCCGAGGTTAGAGTGCAGTGGTGTGATCATAGCTCGCTGCAGCCTCAAACTCCTGGGCTCAAGTGATCATCCCATTCAGCCATAGTTGAGGCCACAAGCGTGCATCACCATGCCCAGCTAATTTATTTTTTAGTGTTTTTTTTTGAGAAAGAGTCTCGCACTGTCACCCAGGCTGGAGTGCAGTGGCACAATCTCAGCTCACTGCAAGCTCCGCCTTCTGGGTTCACGCCATTCTCCTGCCTCAGCTTCCCGAGTAGCTGGGCCTACAGGCACCCGCCACCATGCACGGCTAATTTTTTGTATTTTCAGTAGAGATGGGGTTTCACCTTATTAGCCAGGATGGTCTTGATCTCCTGACCCTGTGATCCGCCTGCCTTGGCTAATTTATTAAAAATTTTTTTTTAGAAACAGGGTCTCACTATATTGCCCAGGCTGGTCTCAAACTCCTGGGCACAAGCAATCCTTTCTCTTTGGCCTCCCAAAGTGTTGGGATTATAAGCATGAGCCACTGCACCCAGCAATGCAGAATGATTCTTGTTCCTGCTTTTCAGTTGAAGAACCTGAATCACAAAGAAGCTAAATAACTTGGCTTAAGGTCATGCAGCTGGTAAGTGGCAGTGCTGGGACTTGAAGACAGGCCTTCTGAATCTAGATCTT